TGTCTTGGGCCCTCCCTGAGTGGCAGGTGGCACCCAGGATCCGGGGCTGCTGAAGTTAGGGGGAGAGCGTGGCATTGGGTCCCAGTGAGGGATACTGTCTTTCCTTCTCTCTCTTGTTTACAGAGGAATTAAGTAAACTGATGTTTAAAAATGGAGCTCAGGGGCTGGCAGGTGGCGTGGTGGTTAAGGCACTGGACTCCCACATGTCTAGCCATGGTTCAAGTCCTGGACCTGGTGGCTTGCTTTCTCACTTTCTCTCTCTCTTTCTCTCTCACTCTGTCTCTCTCTGGTTAAATAAATAAATAAATAAAGCTAAATAAAAAATATATATATATTTGAGCGGTTTTCGCTATAGGGCGCTTGCGCTCGCCAGACAGACAGAGTCATAAAGACAGAAAGCGAGAAATCACCCCCCAGGGGGGATGGTCACGCCGCAATCACTTCTCCTCTATTCTCCTCCTGGGATCTTGGGCACTCATGCACAGGTGCCTGGCATGAGTTTTAAGCCACTGGGTCCGGGACGCGAACTGCGGTCGACTACGTGGGAGTCCAGCGACATAGCCATTATGCTAACTGTTGGTTCCCATAAAATAATTCTTTAAAAAAAATGGAGCTCAGACAGAAGTGCAGGTCTCAGATTTCTGTTTTCTCACCACAATGAGCTTGCCCTGGCCCATTCCAGATCTAGAAGCTGCGGTTTTGACACTTGAACCGCCCACTCCTGTACCAGGCAGGAGGTTCCAGGCCCACCACACTCCTGGCTCAGCCCAGACCAGGCCTTGGGATTCTCACAGAGCCCTAAGGGACACTGAATATTTGCTGGACTGCCTTAAGCCAGTGTCTGGGTGGCCGACAGCCACTTGCAAACAGAAAATGCAGGAAGGTGATTCTAAGAACCTTTAGCCACCACGCAGGTGGCATGGTGGTTAAGCGTTGGACTCCCACACGGCTAACCGTGATTCAAGTCTTGGACCTGGTGGCTTGAGAGTCATGCCGGGCGCGTGTGTGCAGCCGTGCCTGGAATCCCAGGATGAAAATGGAGGAGGGGGATTATGGCACATCCATCCCCGAGGGCGGCATGTGGGGTGATTTCTCACTTTCCCTCTCTCTGGCGAGTGTGCATGTCCTGTAACAAAACCCCAGAAGACCCTGGACTCCACGGGGAGCTGACCCTACTGTCTGTAGGGAGGACCTAGTTTAATGACCTGACTCCACCCAGCTGTGGGAGGCAGGGTCGTGTGCTGCTCTGCTATGCTGAGGCCATTTGAAGACTGGGGTTGGGTTCCCAGGGTGATCTGCACATTCTGGGGGTGCGTGTGCCCATAAACGTGGCTGGTCGGGAAGGCTAGGGGAGACTGTGGCGTAAGACCCTGTGAGGGTGCTTCTCTCTCTGTCTCTGTGTCTCTCTTTCTCATAAAAGAAAGAAAAAGACACAAAAAGAAAAGAACCTGGCTCAAGGGAGACTGGAGTTTCTCAGGGTGTCCAGGTCCCACAGGGAGTCAGGGACAGTGGCGAGAGTGTAGCGCAGAACCAGGGAGGTCACCCAGTACCCAGGCAGCTGGCAAATCAAGAACTGGATGTGGGGGGAACGAACCTTCTGGCTTTCCAATCCACGTGACGGGGGCTCTCTGAGTTTGTGGCTGGTGAAATAAATGACAAAAGCATTAGGTGGACAACCCCAGGGGAGAATCCTCTGCTGCTTTGTTTGGGACTTCACAATAAGTGGATAATCCTTGTGGAGGGTTCATTTCTTCATCTGGAAAATGAAGGAAGACCCAGCCTGTCCCTTCCCAGAGCAGGGGTCATGAGAGGGTGTCAAGGTCAGCACTGGGAATGGATTTGGGGTCCCGGCTGACACCAGCCCTCACTTTAAGAAGTCACCGGGCACGTGTGCGTGCATACCAAAAATCCCGAGAAGAGAATGGAGGAGAAGGGATTGTGGCGTGGCCATCCTCCTGCGGGTGATTTCTCACTTTTCCTCTCTCTGTCTCTCTCTGTGACTCTGGTGAGTGCATGTGCCCTATAGCAAAAACCTCAAAAAAAAGGAGGTTCCCCAGAGACTGCCATAGGAGAAGCCCGGACCAGGCTGCGTGCTGAGCCTGGAGCGCCATCGGCCTTTTTTGCTGGTGAACCCCTGACCTTCATGACCCACAGGACCCAGCTGAGCCGCTGCCTTCCCTGCCGAGTCTCCTGAAGTGAGTCACCTGCCTTTCACCAGCCATCGCAGTGCTGGCTCTCAAGGCCAGCAGAACTGTCATTGTACTACAAAGACCTATTTGCAGGCCCAGATCCTCCCACTGTCTCAGTGCTCCGGCTGGGCCTGCGTCCCTGCGTCCCTCTGTCCACGTCCCTCTGTCCACGGTGTGTAGGGAGCCTGGGCCTGCAACGCAGAAGCCAGGGCCAGACTCCTCCCTCGGCTGCCTCCTGCCACGCGGGGCCTGGTGGTGTCAGGCATCTCTTTGGGCCTGATTCCCTGACCCTTCCCTCTTGTTTACCGGTTGGCACTTACCCTCTCTCTTTTTAAAAAATTACTTTATTTATTTAAATTTGATCAGAGAGGGACAGAATGAGTTCTCTCTCTCTCTCTCTCTTTTTTTTTTTTTTTGTGAGGTTTTTGTTATAGGGTGCGTGCGCTCGCCAGACAGAGAGAGACAGAGAGACAGAAAGCGAGAAATCACCCCCGAGGGGGGAATGGCCATGCCGCAATCCCTTCTCCTCCATTCTCCTCTCTGGATCTTGGGCATGCACACACATGTGCCCGGCGTGAGTTTTAAGCCACCGGGTCCGGGACGCAAACCGCGGTCGACTACATGGGAGTCCAGTGACATAGCCATTACGCTAACTGCTGGTTCAGAGAGGGACAGAATGAGTGAAAGAGAGAGAGGGAAAGTGAGAAAGCAAGCTGCCAGGTCCAGGACTCGAACCCCATTTGGCGATGTGGGGGTCCAGCGCCCTTAACCACCATGCCACCTGCCGGCCCCGGCACTCACTTTACTCTGTTGCTGGGTTGTCTGAACAGAGAGTTTGGAGAAAAGCAGGCCCTCCCTGTTAGCCTTCCCTGCCTCCCAGGGCTGGTAGACTTGGCCGTTGCCCTCTTCCTCCCAGGTCTCTGGCTACCCCTCAGCACCTGCTGGCCCGCCTCTCCCTGGGCTCCAGATCTGTGCCCACAGGGCCCTGCCCGGCCCCACACTGCCTCTTGGTGCCCACATTCCTGCAACCCCGTGACCACAATGACAGGGGACACTGCACATTCCTGGCCTGGCAGCCAACGGTGTAAAAAAGAACAGAATGTCCCAGGGCCACGCCCAGCCCCCAGCTTCACCTGGGCCCCTCCCAGCCCTTGGAAAGGTGGTTGGGGGGGCGAGTTGAGGAGTCAGGACGGAAGAGAATGGATTGGAGGGCAGAGGCAGTGGGGCCTGCAGCTGTCCACTTGGTGAGCAGGGAGGAGCCTCGCAGAGGCCCCCTCTCCTCTCCTGCACTGGGGGCGAGCCTGACCTGGGGATGCCCAGGAGGGGACTCTCAATCCTGGAAGCCCTTCTCTTGCTCCTCCGCCCGGAAGCGAGACTCCCTCCGGGGCTGGCTCCCTCCTGGTCCCCCCCTCCGGTCTCTGCCGCCCCTCCTCTCACAGGCACCCCGCCTCCATCTGTCTCCCTTTCACGCCTTCCCAGTCTGCTCCTCCTGGCTCCGTCCATTTCCTTGTTTGGCCCTCCTGGCCGTGTGTTCAGGATCCTTCCACTGCAGACTCTGGCTTTCTGCAGCCTCTCGGTCCCCCAGGGTCCTGGCCTGTCAGCTCCCCATCTGTCCCCCGGCCCAGACTCTTCTTCAGGCCCCTCCTGCCATGAGCAGGACTCCGGGTGCGCCTGCCCTCAGGAGCTCTCCGGAGTCCTCAGCCCTCCCCTCCGAGAACACCTAGCTAGACTCCTCCTCTCCCCTCCCCTACCCAGCGCACCTTTAATTGAGATGCTAATGAGGCCCCATCCCTGGCCGGCGGCGGGCAGCCTCCCTGTCCAGGGCTCTGCACCTGTCAGGTGAGGGGGAGGAGAGGCTCCGCTGCCAGATTCAACTGGAAAGGAACCAGTCCCAGCCCGGCCACCGCCCGGGAGCCGGAGCGGAGGCAGCCCAGACCTGCCGGAGCCCCGGAGCCCTGGGGCAGGGAGTCAGGGCTCAGGTGAGGCCAGAGGCGGGAGAGGGGCCTGGCGGAGAAGGGGAAGGCCGGGAGGAAGAGGAAGGCAGGCAGGGTCAGAGAGCCCGGCACTCGGAGAGGAGGCAGCGAGGGAAGAGAGCGAGGAGACCCAGAGAGAGCAGAAGGCGGGCGCTAAGACACAGACCCTAAGGAAGAGAGTGACTAAGCGGGGCTGGGGCTGACTGCTGGCTCAGAAAGGAGGTGCTAGGGTGGACACCCCAGCAGGACCACTCCAGGGACGCCCAGCCCAGCTCTGCCGCCTGGGCTCAGCAGGTCACCTGCTCCTGGAAAGGTGGAGGAGGGCAGGGGCATGGGCAGGACCAGGAGCAGCCTTACTTGGGGTTCAAGGTGGTGATGGGGAGGGTACCCAGAGCTCAGCTTTAACCTTGACCCTGACCCTCCCAACCCACCCAAGGGCTCATGAAGGGGGACAAGCGTGAGGAGCAAGACCCCAGCCCTGCCCAGCCCACCCAAGGGCCCATGAAGGGGGACAAGCGTGAGGAGCAAGACCCCGGCCCTGCCCAGCCCACCCAAAGGCCCATGAAGGGGGACAAGCGCAAGGAACAGGGGACAGACCCCGCGCCGCCGGTGCCCCCGCAGCCCTCGGAGGAGGAGGAGGCACTGATCGAGTTCCACCGCTCCTACCGAGAGCTCTTCGAGTTCTTCTGCAACAACACCACCATCCACGGCGCCATCCGTCTGGTGTGCTCCCGGCACAACCGCATGAAGACGGCTTTCTGGGCCGTGCTCTGGCTCTGCACCTTCTGCATGATGTACTGGCAGTTCGGCCAGCTCTTCGGAGAGTACTTCAGCTACCCCGTCAGCCTCAACATCAACCTCAACTCCGACAAGCTGGTCTTCCCCGCTGTCACCATCTGCACACTCAACCCCTACAGGTCAGTCCGCCCTGCTGCTTCTCTCGGGTCGAAGGGTGGCCTGAGGGCACGGGTGTGCGTGGGACAGGCAGACCCTCAGGCCGGGTGGGCGCTGACACCGGCAGGTGGACTGCCCTTTGGGCAGGACACGTGGCCTGAGCGACCATCTCAGCCCGGTGGAGCCATCCTAGGGCCTGAGCCCTGCCTAGAGTGGTTGCCAGGCCAGCAGCACCCTCTCTACCCTTCCTGGCCCTTCCCTTCTCCCTCCCAAGGGGGGAGGCCGTGCTGAGGAGGTCAAGAGGCTGAGGCTGATAAACTCCAAAGGGGTGAGGCGAGCCTGTCTGTCCCTTCTCTGGGGCCATGATGGCCAAGCACAAGCCCCCTCGGCCTCAGTGGAAGAGTGATGGAGAGGGGAGGCTTGCACGGGATCGGGGCTCAGCCTTTGCTTAGAGTGGGAGCGTGTCATGGAGAGAGCAAAGTGGGGAGTGGGGCTGGAGGGTGGAGGTTCCCGCGCTGAGGCTGAGGCCTGGTGGGGGTTACGGAGCCAGAAGAGTGGGCAGAGAGCCCTGGTCAAGCTCTAAGATGCCGCTAAAATGTGGGGTGCTCTGGGCAGGGCCATGCCTCCCCCTTCCCGGGGGGCCAGGCCTTTCCTGCGCGGGTGTGTCCTGAGTCTGGGTTTTCATCCGTGCTCTTTGCTATAGTTTGGGGTCTGGAAAGCAGAGGGGTGGTGACCATGGAGAAGGAGGAGGGCAGGGCTGACCGTCTCTGTTTACTTTTCGTTCTATTCCGCTGTGGCTCGCCGCACCTTGGGAACACCTGCCTCAGGCCCGACACGGTGCTAGGCACCAGGCAAAAAATGCATTTATGACTGTTCAGAAACCCTTAGGGGGGCCAGGTGCTTTGCTAGGTTATGGGGACAGAAAGATAAAGTAAGCTGGAGGAGACAGGCTCTAGACAGACGGCCATGGCGCGCTGTAACACGGGGAAACGGACTGCGGGCTAGCCTGCCTTCAAGGGTGTGAGAGCGTGTGCGCGTGGAGAGTGTGTGCGTGCGTGCAGCCGTGGGGGGTCCGTCAGTCACATGTCTGGGGCGGAGCCCCCTCGTATGTTCTGTTGTGTCCAAAGGTGTGTCATAGGCTAATAAAGACTGGGACACCCTGTCCTGGAGAGAAAAACCTGCTGGGCCGATTCGCTGATTAACCTCCATGTGCTGCCTGGGTAGTGGCCCTTTCCGGAAAGGGACAGGGGATGACTCAGGCCGCCACCTGCTGAGACCCCTGCAGAAACCTTTGCAGGTGTTGCATTTCGTTCCCGGAGTCCCAGGAGTGCCCGGAGTCCCGGAGTCCCTGGGAAGGCCTGATTATCCCTAGTTCACACTTGAGGAACCCTGGGCGAAGAAACAGGCTGAAAGGTCACACAGAGTGACAGAACTGTGACTCATCTGTTTGCCTGCCCCAACACTGCTGCTGCTTTTTCCTTCTGCCTTCCTTTCTTTCTCTCCTCCCTCCCTCCCTCTCCATCTCTCTCCCTCTTTTCTTTCCTTCCTTCCTTTCCTCTTCTGTCTTTCTGTTTTGGAAATTTTGCCAAAGGGCACACGTCCTCACGCTGTGTGGGTGGGGCAGTGAGAAAGCACGGGGCGGGGTCACGCCACGGTCCCTTCCCTCTGTCTCTCCCTCCGTTCAGAATTTTGGACACACACACAGGTCGCAGGGTCAGGGACTCAACCACTCGGTCAGCCTGTGGGATCCAGCGCCTTAACCAGCAGGCTAGGGCTGGGCCTCTTTCTTTCTCTCCTTCTCTCTTTGCTTCCCTTCTTTATGAGATGGTATTTACTCTCACTTTAAGACTAGTTCCTCTGGTGCCAGCAGGTGGCGTGGTGGTTAAAGGTGCTGGTCTCCCACATGGCTGACCATGATTCGAGTCCTAGACCGGGCAGTTTGAAAATCATGCCAGACATGTGCAAAAATCCCAGGAGGAGAATGGAACAAAAAGGACTGCGGAATGGTCATCCCCCTGGGGAGTGACTTCTCACTTTGCTTCTCACTGTCTCTGCCTCTCCAGCAGCAATTGCATGTACCCTATGGCAATTTTTTTTTTTTTTTTTTAGGGTAAAAAAGACCAGTTCCTCTGCTGGGCCTCATTCATCTTTCCTGGTGCTTCCAGGCTTCCCCACTTGCCATCCCTTAGGCCACGGGAGGGCAGGCACTCTTAATAGCTGTGGTCGAAAGGTGGTGAGGGGACCAGCAGATGGCGTGGTGGTTAAGGTGCTGGACAATCCCACATGGCTGACCACAGTTTGAGTCCCGGACCTGGTGGCTTGCTTTCTCACTTTCCCTCTTTCTCTCTCTGGTCAAATTAAAATAAAATGAATGAATAAATAAAATTAAATAAATAATCCCTGAAAAAGAAATGTAGGTGAGTGATGAGGAGGGAGGGGCAAGTCTGTTGAGGCGAGCCTGTTTCATAAGGTTCTGCCTGGTACAGGGCCCTGGACAGTCCAGGAGGATGCCCTGCGGCTCAGGGGGCAGGCACAGACTGTGTCTCCTGCTTGAGGGGCCGCTGTAGGAGTGAGGAGGGAGGGAACCAGGAGGGAGGGAGTCGGGAACCCCTTGCCCCTGCTGGGTGCTTTGTAGATACTGCCCCACCTGGTTCTGACAGCTTCCGGTGGGGGGGCAGGTATTGCTATTAACATCTGTCGGATGGGGACACTGAGGCTCAGCAAGGTGGTAGCCAACACTTACACGTACTTACACACACATATGTGCCAGGTGTTTCTAAAGATAAATCTACACCTATTGCGTGGTTAGAAAAGTCATGACACATGTTTGCATTTAAAAAAAAAATCCAGAAAAAATAGGTCATGACTTTCCCGACAACCGAATGCATTAAATTATGATGTTATATTTTTTGAGAGATTTTTGCTATAGGGTGATTGTGTTCACCAGAGAGACAGACAGAAAGCAAGAAATCACTCTCCAGGGGGGATGGCCACACGATTAGCTTCTCCTCCATTCTCCTCTAGGATTTTGGGCACGCATGCATGCACAAGCACCCAACGTGTTTCAAGCTGCCAGGTCTGGGACTTGAACCGTGGTTGGCCATGTGGGAGTCCAATGGCATAACCATTGCGCTATGTGCTGGTTCCTATGTTCTTATTTAATGCTCACAGACTACCTTGGAAGTAGGCGCCACTCTGACTCTCAGTATATGGATGAGAAAACTGAGGCCTCCAGAGTTACGTATCTCATTTACGCTTGGACAGGTAGCGAGTGGTGACTCCACTATTCCAAATCACTCCTCTACCCCACCCCCAACTAAGAGCCTGCACAACTCGGGTTAGCAGCTGGGTCAGAAACCACAAAGCTCTTTTTCACATTGCTAGAGGGCATGTGTTCTGGACAGAGGGGTGTAATCACACTGCAGTCCCTTCTCCTCCATTTCTACATCCTGTTGGAATTTGGGGCACACACACCTGAGCCTGGCATATTTTTCAAGGTGCTGGAGCTGAGATTTGATCTGCAGTTGGCCATGTGATATCTGGCTTCCTTAACCACTATGCTATAAGATCAGCGCAATTAAAAAAAAATAATTTAATTTAATTTGTTTGTTATTCAATTTCACTAGAGAGAGAGGAAAAGTGAGAAAGCAAGCCACTAGGTCCAGGACTCGAACCATGGTCGGCCGTGTGGGAGTCCAGTGCCTTAATTAGCACACCACCTGCTGGCCCCACCAACAGTTATTTCCTAAAGAATCATTTTTTAAATTGAACATTATTTATTTATTTATTTTAATTTGACCAGAGAGGGACAGAGTTGGGGGGTGGTGGGTAAGAAAGCAAGCCGCCAGGTCCAGGACGCGAACCATGGTCGACCATGTGGAAGTCCAGTACCCTTCCCACCACACCATCTGCTGGATGCCCCCCAACACTTTTTATAATTAAAATTTTTAAAATGTCTGGACCAGCAGTTAGCGTAATGACTATGTCACTGGACTCCCACATAGTCGACCGCAGTTCAAGTCCCAGACCCGGTGGCTTAAACTCACGACGGGCACATGTGCGTGCAGAAGAGAATGGAGGAGAAGGGATTGCGGTGTGGCCATCCCCCTGGGGAGGTGATTTCTCACTTTCTGTCTCTCTGTCTCTCTCTCTCTTTCTGGCAAGCACACACACTCTATAGCAAAAACCTCTCCAAAAAAAAAAAAATTAAAATGTCTTCCATGGGTGGGAGACAGCGCCTTCAGCAGGGTTCTGGGGCTGCGATCCACCCCATCTGGATACACACATCCCAACCTGGACACAAACCCAGACCTTCCTGTTGTCTGCCTTGCGAAGTGGCATCACTGTGCCGCCCTGTGGCCCCTTGTCACACCGGGAGGACCAGGTAGAGGCATGCTAAGATTGGCGGGAGCCAGGTGGTGTGGTGGATGGGGCGCTGGATTCCCACATGGCCAACCCTGGTTCGAGTCCTGGACCTGGTGGCTTGCTTTCTCGCTTTCCCTTTCTCTCTCTCTCTCTGATAAAATTAAACAAACAAACAAAACAAACAAACAAAAGAACAAAAAACAATAACAAATGGAATTAAATAAATAAATAATTCTTAAAAAAAAAAAAAGATTGGTGGGGCA